CTGAAAAAGTATAACTTAGTATTATATTTTGTTAAAAAAAAATGGTTTATTTTAAGAATTCTGCTGCAATATGATTCTTATGCTGAAATGTGTTCCGAAACTAATGAAATAATATTAATTGGATTTTACACATAGACTTCCAATTATTGAATGATTTTCATAATTGAATTTGTTTATAATAATATAATTTTTGTTAATTGTTAATATATTAAGATAATACAGCTGTATTGGAATTTAATAGAAATAAAAATGGTTTGAAAAATATGTCTGTAGAATCAATAAAGACAAATTTATTATTTTATGGTACCTAATTATTAACACACTTATTTTAATCATTTTTCTTTCTAAATTTATATGTATCATTTACTTTAAAAACATAAAATGAACCCCAGACAAAAATTTGTATATAAAAAATTATTGGACATGATTTGAGTAACATTTTTTGTTCTATGGTTACTGCTCCTAATTTTTATCCGAGCACATTTTTCAAGTCTGACAAATGATCTATAAATTCAAATTATTCAATTTATAAAATTAAAATTGAAAATAATTGTTCTTAAAATTATATATTTAATTTGATTACTATTTCTTTTACCTATTCCATTATAATTGTCAATGTATTAGTTTTGATCCTGACTTAGGTATACTGGGTACAGTGAAACCTCTCTAAAACGGAATCGCATGGGACCAAACATTTTTCCGTTAKAAAGAGTTTTCCGTCATAGAGAGATAGAAATTGCATATATTATTTGCACGGAGACTATTGACATTTTCCATTATWAGGAGGATTCCGTTTAATAGAGGGTCCGTTATAGAGAGGTTTTACTGTATATACAATTTTGTGAATTTATAAATAGTTTGTATTTTTGGAATCGTTGACTCATAACCTTACAACATAGTTTTATTATAAATAAAATTATATAAACATTGAATTTGTTAACTTATTTTGATAATTTTAGATAAAGAAGCATTAAATAAAATTTCAAATACTAATGAAATAGATTTAGAATATGTTTATTTGGGTATGTTAAATGATGAAAATATGATTGGAGTACATCCTTTATATGATTCAAACATTAATGTAAAAGGTAATTTACTTATGACAATTTCTAAAATGCTTTTACAATTTAATATTTATTTTTTATTGTAGATGAATGTAATGCAACTGAAATAGGATTTGAAACAAATACAACTAATTCAAAAATAATTGAAGAATCTGAAACGCATAAAATTGAAGAATCCAAAMACCTTGAAWTTGGGGCCAATAAAAAGCAAATTGTTGAAGGTAGTACCTATTTTTGATAAAATAACCAATGTATTTTTTTTCCTCATGTAATTGATACATTTTCAATGTCTGTTTTTGTTACAGAAACTCCAAAATCTATTATATATGATCAAGACTTAACAGAATGTTATGGTGAAATGCTTCCACCTTATTGTGACCCTAATTGTCAGTTAAAATGTTATTATTCTGTACCTGGMCCCCAACGAAGAGAAATTTTCAATCAATTTCAAATGTTACAAAATGTAACTGAACAGAACTGTAAAATCACTGAATTAGTACAATTGATTATGGTTGAAAATTTAGAAAGTGATTTTGAGAGGTGTCTGACATTCCACTTGACTATGAATAAGGAATCTGTTAAGGTGTGTCGAATGTTTTTTATGAATACATTGGGTATTTCTGAACACCGTCTCAATGCTGTTTTGAAACCAGTCAGTTACAATTGGTATTCTAATACTGATACTGCATTAAAAGCTAATCAACTAACTCAAGCAAAAGTAATTAGCGAGCAGATACCTATCACAGATTTCATGAAAGAATCTTTAAAACTGTTRGATAAGGACTACAATTTATACGAACCTGAAAGTGATACCAATGTTAGTTTGGAAAATGTGTCTTTAGATGAAAAAGAAAAAGTATTACTATACATAAAGAGTATTCCTAAGGTTTTATCCATGCCCAATAACCCCGGGGACGTGAGGAAACAAATGTTTGAATCTAGCATTTGTGTGGAATATATGTATAAAACATATTCTGAAAATTACATCAAAAACAAAATTCCTCCGCCATATACAAAACGTCAATTTAAAAAAATCTACAACCAGTTTATGAAGTCTAAATTAAAATTGGTCTAAATCAAAAATTACATATTTTATTTGTGTTATATTTATACACATACAGTTTTAGGRATTACCTGTTTCTTGTTTATGTTATATTTTATTGATAAGTTTTAAGTTCATTTATTTTATGTATTACATAAATAAAAATATTTCATTGTTTTACAAAATATATAACTTAAAATGTTTTTTTTTTATGATATATTCTTAGAGCAAAAATTTTCTTTATGATTTAAACATCATACAACTTTCTCCTTTTACAATATTTTCTTGTCATTAATATTGAATATTGTATGCATAATAATAATTTGTAATTGTAAAATGATTGTAATAAGTTTTTCAAGTGTTGTTTACAATTTTTTTTAAAAGTATTGATGATAGAAATATATTATTAATACATTTGATAGTATACAGTTATAAGAATATACTATCATTAAAGTATATAGTGATAAAATTTTAATTTTTCAAACTAGAATTACTAATAATATTAAAATAATCGACTATTTGACCACACTGTATGTAGAGATATATCTGCATTAATTTAAAATTTAAATACTTAACATATTTATACATACATATATAAAATACAATGTTTTATAGCAATATAATACATTTGAAAAATTTATCAAAAAATAGATTTTTGTATTATTTTCAAATAGATGATTTGGCAAACTTTTTTTCTTAACTWTTATTTATATTGCTTATTTATAAAACAACTTTAATAGAATTTTTCTATTTCAATGACTTATCAATAATAAAGAAAATACTACCCTATTTAAAGAAGAAAAAAAAGGAAATAGCTACTTCTATAATATGTTTATCTAAAATGTTCACAGTATTCAAAAATATGATTTATTAGAAAAAAAAATAACCTACATTTCAACACTATAAAAATATGTCTTATACAAGGCAACAATAAAAATAATTAAGACCAGTATTTTTTATTTTGACATTTAAAAAATTATGCGTTTGTTGTATTTAACAATCCAATTTCTTTTAAACACTCTTTAGCAGCTTCCATTTTTGCCAATTTTTTTGTTTGACATCTTGATGAACAGTATTGTACTCCATTGACAACTACCTAAATAAAATAAAACTGGTGAAATATTTTCATGTACATTTTGATTATTGAATACTTACTGTCATGATAAATGTTTTTCTATGACTAGGGCCAGATTCATCAAGGGTATTAAACTTAGGTATGTCCCACTTACGTTTTGCACAAAATTCATTCAATAATGAAACTGGATGTTTTCCTACAATAATGAATTATATTTATTAAATAAAGTTATTATTTTATTGTTTGTTCATAAACATATCCTATTGAGATAATTTACCTTCCAGTGACAACACTGGTAGCACTGTTGCTTTTTTTGCAAATCTCTTGATACGGCTTCCTTGGAGTTCTTCTTCAGCTACCAGTCCTATAAGTATAGATAGATAAAGCATATTTAATAACAATATTGAGGATATTATTTTTTACCTCTTTTATCCATTTTTACATCCAGTAAAAGTGGTTCTAAAGATCCAGATTGATTCTTTCCAAGACCTTCTCCTGGTTTCCATCCCATTTTTTGTAATAAATGRATCCCAATACCACTGTTTACAGGAGCAGAATTTTTTAGCTGGTCCTACAATTAAAAATTAATTGTAGTAATCAATTAAGATAAGTAATTTTAAATAATCAACTATAAAAAATTGTATAGTATATATTGTGATAATTTTTTTACAGCCGCATTGTTTTCGGTAAAACATATCTGTGTAGAACTGGATGATCATTAAAATCCATATAATGATGTATTTTCATTTATTAATTTTAATACTTACAAAAATACATGTTAAGTATTTTCAAATCTTTGTTTCCATTTTAAAATAAAATTAACTAAATACTGTAAATGTACCCACTGTTAAAGTGCATACATTCAAGTATCTATTAAAATTACCAAGGGGCTGCATCAGATATCCCGTGAATGTTCAGCAGACGAACCATCGTTCGATTGTGGTGTTGTTGATATAGCGCTTAAATATGTTAAACACAAGTAATACTGCCTGTAACAGATTTCCATTTGGCTTTCATGCACTTAATATGCATGTTTATTTAGCAATGTAGCAATTGCTAAACAAACATACGGTTCAAAAGAAAATGTCTTGATATAAAATGTATAAAACTTTCATTTAGAATGATTAAATTGTACAATTGAAATATTACATCAAGACTATTTCTTACAAATTAAATAACTAAACATGTTATTAAATTTATTTTGCCTGAATTGAGTAGATACTCGATAAACAACATAACAG